CTAGAAGCAACCTAGAAACAACTTGTGTTAAATTAAAGGCTCGTTTTTCTGTTAGGCACAATACACAAGTGGACTAAAAAGACAATGATGCAAGAAAAGTATAGGGGATGACATTAGAAGCAATTTATTGTAAATGTGGAGAAAGAAAAGTGGACGAAAATGTGACCTGCCCCCTTGCGGCATCCGAACCTGCGACCTTCGAATAACGTATCTGATGCTCAATCACTGCGCTACGGTGGCAGTCATCCCCCTCCCCCGTCCACCTTTAAGGCATTTACGTTTATTTAAACGTAAGAGTGTCAGTCAGCGCCGCCTGTTGCCATTTCACATTCACCACTATTGTGTCTTCTGACATATGTGTATACCTTAAAGCATCGGACGGGTTATTCAAATGTCACAGGTTTTTATCCTCCCTGCAGGAAGAGAGAGTTATCTTTTCGTACCCTTTTCTTTTTTGATTTACATTACAATTACTTCTAAAAAAATTCCCTATACTTTTCTTGGCGTCAGTAAAATCAAATCAAATTATTCTTAATATCAAACATGTTTTTTTAGCAGGTTGGGAGTCCCTCAGGCGAAAAGCGGTTATAAAACCACTTTAGAATGCCTGAGGACCCACGTACTTGGCAACAGTTTCGGAATTTAAGTTTTTAACAATTTATAGCACACTTGGAGCAGAAGAAATGACTGAAAAATATTAGAAGATTATTGTACAAATACACAAGCAGAACAGCCACAGAACAAACTAAATAGCTGTCTGTTAGCCCTCATTCATATTTTGTCTAACCTATAGAAATAACCTGTATCACCTAACCGAGAAACAATCCAGAAGCAGCTAGATTAGTCTTCAGAGTCGTCAAGTGTTGCTGATTGAAAGCTTGCGCGGTTTTTACTTGTTTTTCATGATGACATTTGCGGCATGCTTAGAAAGAGAAAAAAAAAGAGAGAGAGAAACAGCCTAAATCAAAACGGCAAGTTTCCGAGGAATCATTTCCTCTCCCCTAGGTGGCAGCCAACAGTCCTTGGGTCCTAGCGGAATCTTCGGCTTGCCTGATAACTTGTAGCTGGTCCTGGATGTTTGAGCTAAGCAGCGCGGTCTCCCACTGCTGTGCGTTGAAATATTTGGTGTTTGGCCCCTTGACAAGGTTGGGAGAAGCCCAGATAATCTGTTTGAGGTCCGCCCGCTGATTTAAGCGTTTACATTTGTCGGAGAAGAGATCTGGATAGCAATGACTGTAAGCAATTGGATGTGGGAAGGTGCTTGTTTGTACTAGGCGCCGTGCTGTCGCCTGATGTTTATTTAATGAGAAATGTGGTGGAGGGTAATGCTGTCTCCCTACTCGGTAGTGTTTAGTTTTTTCATTGTATGAGACCACGCGCTCTCTCTCCACACGCGGGCTTCGCGTCATTCCTGCACCTGCTTGGCTCACTAACTCTTGAGCTAGGGTGTGTGTGGTTTCGTTGCCCGGAAAGAGAGAGTGAGCGGGCGTCCATATGTTTAGAAAAAAAAATTTTTGACGGTGACACATCTCTAGTTCTACGTGAACTTGCCCGTTGATGGTATGATTCGCAGAAGTACCATGTGTGTACGATTATTCACAGTTAATGCACACATGTTGTACACACAGGAAATAGCAGCTGCTTTATGCGAGACGTAGTAAAACGCTGAAAGTGCTAGTCGTAGTCTTAAATTTCAGAGTTCATCTCATCTTCTTGAACCCCTGGTAAAAGTTCTTTGCATTCCAATGAAGTTATTTAATTTAATAAATCATGGTCTCCATCGAACACTGCGCAAGAGAACCTGATAGGCAGGCTTCAATAAAAGAAGAGAAAAATAGAAGGTTCGTTTCTTGTCTATTGACAAAACCTGAATAATAGCCAGCTATACATGAAGCCAAGGGAGGCATAGGAAAGGCTAGTTGAGAAGCTTTAAGTGCATCATAACAAATATGAAACAGATGTAAAGAAAATGAGGTGCACGAAAATAAAACGTGCTGTTGGCGGGGACTGAACTTGTGCCCAATGGTCTTGCCAATCGAGCTACAGTGGCATATTGTCTTTTTCATTCTCTTAAGTTTGTTTTTCCACTTCTTTATCCTAAGTGTTAAAATACATTCAAAGCAGAGCCATTAACGTCTCCAATACTTCCCGTGGTTCAACTATCTGCTGGTTTTAGTTAAAATAGCGTGACTTGTGATTCTTCTTATATAAGAATACCGTTAATTATGCAGAAGAGAGAGAATATAAGAAGGGTAGGGAGGTTAAATAGAGCTTGTTCACTTTGGTTCCCTGCAGATCGGGAGGAGAACAAGGGAGTAAAAGGAAAAGACAAAGCCTTAGAGAAAAGGAAAGACACACTTCACAACACATACAGTGCAAGGTTGGGCTTCACAGGCTGTCGCTTAACGTTCTCGCCCTCAAGTACTGCAAGATGTCTCGCGTGGCTTTCTTGGCTGCTGTGCTGTGAGAACAGGCTCCCAAAGTCATTCTTGCCTTTCAGTTTATTTCAGTTTTCAGTTTATTTATTTTTACTTTCGTACAAAACATACATGCTTACATAAACATACAGAAGGAGGTCCCAGAGCACTTGGCTGAAGGGGGACCTCCTGTCAGGAAATGTGATAGAAATGCACAAGTAAAATGCAGCAACGTGGAATAAGTTATACAAATAAAAGGATTACAGACTAAAAAAACAAATTTTAACAATCATAAGTACAACAAAACACTGCAAAAAACATATAAAGAATAAAAGAAAATCCCAAATATTATTGACGAAGCGAAGGGGCCGATCATCGAGTCTCCTCAATGCACACTCGTGGTTCGTCGGGCATATTTGTTCAAGTTTGGGCAGTCGCACAAGAAATGATCTCTACACACTTGCAGTTGTCACATGTGGATTACTCTGCCATACCACTGCGATACAGCTTCAGCAAAGCCGAAAAACGTAGAATGAATACTTGTTTATGCCACAGTTAGGTGATAAACTTTAGCAGCTAGTGCTCATTCCATTGGGCGTGTACGAGTTAGTACTGCTATACTTTTATTTTGAGCCAAACGTCCAGCTTTCTTCTCATTTAGTGTAATTCAGAGAACGTGTGAGGCAAATTCTAGTAAAAAACCCTAAAAATTATGCCATATTGTTACTTTTACTCCGTACGTTTACAGTTTATTCACGAAAACATTCGCCAGCGAAGGATTACATGAGTTAAAAATGTTTTTTTAATGTCAATGAGGTCCCGTTAAAATACCCTACACATGAAATATATGTTTTGTTTCAGTAAACATTCCGAAGACCTCCTCCTGCATCCCACGAGCGATGACATTTCTATGGAGTCGCTCCACGAAATGAGGCGAGCCAGTCGTACTTGCCTCCCATGTCCGGGCAGAAGTTTGGAAGCCTACTCGGGATTTATTCCTGTTGACAATGTTGAAGACGGCAGCTTTTCTTCATACTTATTCTTTTTGCACATTAAATCGGAGGTAAATTGCTATGAACGTAAACCATCACACTTCATCATGAGTGAATACCCATTTCTGTGGTGTGGTTGGAGCTGTATTGATTCTGCCTTCTTTTTCCCGTTCATTATTCGCTGGTAAGCATTTTAACCTCTTGGAATTTCTAGATAGGAGCTGGTATCGTTTTTGCAGATCTCAAAACAGCACTGAAAGTGCGTAATTTTTGCAAGACATGTTCAAATCTTCTTGCACATTTTCAGCGCTAACCTCGAGCAACCACTTCCCCGTAGTGTAGTCCACACACAATGCACGAGTGAAAAAAGAAATGTGGTACTTCTCAGTTCACTAAATATAGCGAATCATGCAGGGGCAGATCCAGCCATTAATTTTAGGGGGCGGGGTGGCGGTCGCTTGCAGTAGCATTGGAGAGGAGGGCGCGGCCATTATTTTTTATTTTTATTACCACAAAAACTCTTTCATAGCAAAAATACTGTTATTGTGTGCTCAAAGTGCTCCCACTCATTTTCCTAATTAAGGATAGCAGGTGGACGGCAAGCACTGAAGAGAAGGGCAGGGGACGTTGACAGAGTTTGGGGGGAGGGGGCGATGGCCCCTACCACACCCTCTCTAGATCCGCCACTAGAATTGTGGTATTGTGGTGTCAGCCCTTACGAAGTCTTGCACTCTTGAAATGCAGGCTGGCTATTTTGGTCAAATGAAGGGACTCTTGAGAACCGTCTTGCCGCAAATGATAGCGTATGCCATAGACTAATCTTTGCTCTAAATGCGTAGGGCAGCTTGACAAAGACTCCGTTCAAACAGTAGAGTAGCGGGTGACAAAAGTCTCAAGTCTGCGCCCCACTTGTTTCAGCCAGCCACAGTTTAAAAAAGGTGGCTGTAGTTTTGGCGTTTTCATTAGCTCAATTCTATTGTATCATGATTACCAAGCTGAAGTGCTTTTTTGAAAAAGCACGCGATTCACCCCGTCCGTTGGACCTTCGTTGTTGAGAAGTGTACCTCAGTTGCGGCAAATCTTTCCAGCAGCAGACAGATCGCCGTTTTCATGATGGCCTGATAGAGAATTCTAAATAATTAAAATAAGAAGGGTGGCAAGAGGCTTAACACGCATCATAGGGCCTCTACACGCGATACGCGCTTTATGCAGGCTAAGTTCACACACAGAAGGCGCTTGATAATAGGTATTTCTCATCACACACACAGAAAATATGCACAGCGTCTGTCAGGGGCAGCTCACATTCTTATGTATTAAAAGGCAATTTGAACTCTGTCACGAGGTGATATCAGAACATGGCTTTCTGAATGACGTGTGCGCAAAGTTTGGCCCTTACGGTAAATTTTACTTTTTAGGTTTGTAAACACTGCGCCGATGTTTGTCTGCGTACTATGAATTATATATCTTCATATTCAGTAACCTCCTGCTCTTTTTTACACTATGCGCAGTCGTGTTTTATTATCTATTCCACCTTCTTTTTTTTTCTCACAGAAAAACTCTGGCAAAAAGCCTCTTCTCCTGTGGTTGCAAGGTGGACCCGGGAAATCTGCACTCCATGGACAGTTCCTGGAGAATGGCCCACTCGGAATGACTTTCTTGGGAACTCTTTACAAGAGGCGACACACACTTCTCAAGCAGTTTAACATTATCTACTTGGACCAGCCGGTAGGAGAGGGATACAGCTTTGACAAACGCCGCAAATACCCTTCATCGCTCCAGGAGGTTTCCATTCACCTCACGACGTTCATGAGACGCTTCTTGAGGCTTTTTCACGAATACAGAGGAAGGGACTTCTTCATTGCGGGGGAATCATACGGAGGTAACGTATTTTATCTGCGTCTAGTACCAGATGCTTGTTATGTACAACTTTGGTTTTGGAAGCTAATTTGACCTAGAATTATGCATATTTGACAATGTAAAGCTTCCTGTACTGTTAGTATTCATTAGCAGCAAGAAAAAAATAATCTGTATTTCGGTGAAAGAACGGCCTTATTGTATTTTCACCATACCATTTTAATGTGATTGCCGGTCACATACGAGAAAAAAATATTTGCGAGTAGTCACAAGCACTGTATAACAGAAGCAATCACCACTGTGTTTGCAGGAATATGCAATTAGAAAAAAAGCCCAAACGTTTGCCTTATACAAATTCACTTCCACAACCACTACGTCGCCAAGTAAGAGGTGGATTCGGAGCTCAAAATTCCTCTGATAAAGCTTATTACCTTTGATGCGTATATATACAGTTACATACAAACACAAGCACGAACGTTCGGACTATCTGGTTTAACCCCTCCCCCTTCCCGAAACAAATATTCTGGCCAAGCCATTGTGCAGGATTTTGCACTGTGTTCGCTCTAAATGTATTTCGCGTATCACTCCTCTTTTTTTTCCTAGTCACATGTCCGATAATTAAAGGCTCTGAGGTTGGGAGTCACGGATCGTATTCACAAAACATTTTACGCTATCTTCCTTTTTTTAAAATCATGCTTCTGCGAATCAAGACGTGGGACATATTGGTGAAGAAGTTTTGTGAAATCAACCACAGATTTTTCTGTGATATGGTTTCTCACCGTTGTTTTACATTGACAATACATAACAATAAATGTGACTATACACTATCGTTGCAAGATTTTTGTAGCTCTATGGCATACGTTCATTCACTGTAATGAAGTTATCTTGCTACGGACCTTCAAAACCACAGGTCTTGTTCATAAAGTACCTTTGCAGACAAACTCAAAGGCTTAGTTAGTTATTTCTTAAATAAGGCTCGCAACATGCTTTTGATTAATCATAGAATGGCTTCATTAACAATGCGGCTTATTGCTTCACGAATAAATAGTCCCAATGTTTTTAGAATCTTTCAGGTACGAGTGTAATTACGAGGATTTGCCAACTGCTTTCTCTTTTCTTTCGTGCCAGTGAGTGCGCTGACACCGTGGCTTAAAGCTACGAAGGACATATACGACAAGGAGGAAAGAAGCTACGTCAGTTCATCAGCGCATGTTTTTTTCTTTTTTTCTTCGAACACACGGTTTAGTTTCATTCCATCTGCAAGCATTCGCTAGGCCCCTGGAGACTTTCAGTGGTGGCAGTGGACCGCAAGCATCGGCCAATCGCCGTAAACTTTGGGATTATGGAACTGTCATTTTGGCGTATGGCATCATTTGCAAAGAGATGAGGGAGTGATTAGTAGCTGCCTTTGAAGGTTGCCAGGATTTCGGTACCCTAAGTACACATACGCAAGCCACTGGACTTACAAAACTCTAAACAAATTAAAAAAAGAACTCATAATAGGTTTGCAAAAAGAAAAGCAACGCAAGCTATAGTTGGTGTTGGGAAAGACAAAGGTTCTCTCGATCGCCCAAAGATGCATGATTCAAACTCCCTAATGAGTTTGACGCGATTTCATAGCATGTCTCATTCTTTCGTTACAGCACGGTCAGCGGTTGGAATGGCAAACAGGTTGTTGACCCAAACACCAGAAGAATTGCCCCTGCGCTTCAAGGGAGTCATGCTTGGTGTCCCGTTTCTATTCCCGTTACTGCACATAACCAACTCGGCTGACTTCCTCTACTGTAGTGGACTATTGGATGAGGACGGCCGCGAACTGTTTTCTGTCAGGTTTTTCATGATACAGAAACTAGTTTCATTGAAACAGTACTTAAACGCTGCCGGACTTCTGAGCCAAACTGTTTTTGACTTGGGATTCCAGGGCGAGCAAAGTTTATTCTCAAATCTGACCGGATTCTTTGACCACGCGAGTATAGTAAGCGCCCGAAAACGCAGAGAAGATGCGGCGTACAACGTTTACGCAAACAGATGGGATTTCAAGCAGAGGATCCACGTTAATAACTCCAGAATCCTAGACGGCACGAGGCAAGAGTTAGCGAAGCAGTTGGCGTTAAATGATCTTTTCGTGGACCAACGCGATATGTTTGCTGGTGTTCTCAACAGAACGTCCGTTCTTATCTACACGGGCCAGCTGGATGCGTTATTTCCGGCCGTTAAAATGTACGAGTCTTTCAAGATGTTGCGATGGCGTGGGTCCGAATTGTTCAAAGAAGCTCGGCGCACGCCCTGGTACCGGAATGACAAGCCTTCGCTGGGTCTGCTCGGCTATTTGAAAAAGGTGGACTCGCTGATGTATGCCACGGTGTTATTCGGTGGACATCACATATCGCAAGATTGTACGCCAGCTGTGAACGAACTGTACGAACGCTTTCTAAAATTTGTAAAGTCTAGAGACGAGCCGCGACCTACCTCACAACAAAAGGTTTGGTGAAGTTGTAGTGTAGGCCATCAATGAAATCATTAAAATTGACCAAATTTTAGGTATTACCTGCGAAAGACACAATTATGCATATTGATGCAAACTACTCATAGAATTGGTTGAACAGTTTATTATAATAAGCTTGATGCTAACTTTCAAGGCGCATCGTCATATTTGGGCACTCTGCTAATACATGAATATGCAACACCGCGTATAACATTCGAAATGCAATTGCTTAGCTATACTCCTGCTTCATCACATTCAGTCAGTGTACTTGCTTGCTTTAGACAGAAAGATATTTGTATACAATACTTCTCCAAAAAGAGTGCAGTAGCAGAAGTCGCAAACACGTGGCCCACGATCCCGTTGCCAGCGGCCAGGCGTTACGTCGACAGGCTGACAGTATTATCGCACGCGTACTGTACGTGTACTTGTGCGAGCGTCTGTTATTTCATCTGAAGGTGAAGAAGTGTCATCGACGATTAAGAAATGCGACAGACCATGACGACCGTCTCGGTGCAAGAAGGCCATGTGCTTTTCGATTTCACACCTGCACCGAAGAGGAAATGGTGGTTTTTCTATTACTTCGAACAAGGCGTAGAAAAGCTGCTTGCTGGCGGATATTCCTTCAAGCCTTCAAGCAGGCAATCTGCCCTTCCACAGCGTGGGTGAGGCTCCGTGTGACCCGACACAGCAGAATACTCCCAGGCAAGCGTACTGGTGTTTGGTCACTATTGCAGCCATGACAAGACAACGGCGTCAGCCAGAATCACGGTTAGTTAGCACCGTTAAGCGTTGGTGACGTATTTCGCCCGTCATATTTTTTAAAAAGAAAGCCGAAATGTCTGCACGTGTGCCCCAACGCGGGGGCGTATAGGCAGAATTTTTTTGTGTGTAATGCTGGTGAGGGAGTCGCTTCCTTGATGTGCAGGGGCGTCTAGGTCGGATCATTTTATGATCATTTTGTGTTATCCGCTGGCGAAAAAAACGATTTCGGGTAGGGGGAGGGACACAGGTGCGGTGTGCCATCATCTGGGCACGTCCGCACCCCAACAAGCGACCACCAATCACGTGTCAAGAAAAGACCACCTTGGTGCACGAAGTCGATGTTGTTGGTGTGTTAAGGCCCCGTCAAGAACATTGAATTGGGCGAGTGTGAGTGAACCCCTGAAAACGGCGCGAATGTTGTGATTGTACCAACAAAGCTGCAGAAAGTTCCCCATCTATAGGAATCAGACCCTTTATATTGAGATATTCAACTGAATCGCTACAAGATTCAACCATCTTTTAACCCATCTGAATAAACTGATGCTTAGTTTCTTTTTATATATCCTAATATGCGCATCTTCCTTTTGAAGCACGAGTGCTTGCATAGGCCGGTGGCATGAGCAGGCATCTGTCTGGATCCTCGCTGCTAAGTGTTCCGCAAGTCAGCGTGTCAACAAGCCATCAGACATCTAGTGGGCCGGTTTAAAACTTAAAACATCATACTGTGCTTCAGAAAGGGTCAAGTTTGATGACCTTGCTGCATGGTACGTGTATAATTTTATTGCCTATTGTGAATAATTATTCAATAGGCAATGCAATTGGGTAAATGTTCTGGTAAGAAACACAGACGGGTAATCGGGGAATATATTCATACGTGGCTGGTCGCAAACATTTTTTTTTTTTTGTTCGTCGGAGGCACTCCATGAAGTTAATATGCTTTGAAACATAGCTGTGCCCCCAGAAATGCCTTTCAGAACAGCATCTCTATGGTTTTGTCGATCTGGAGAGCGGTAAAACTATGTTTCTCAAATGCCGATGTGTAATCTCTTTTTAAAAAATGGCCCATACGAGAAGTATTGACAAGGCGTGCTTTGAAATGAAAGGAAGAGACGAGAGTTTGTTCAAAATACCCCTTTCATTGCCCCTACTCCCCACTTTTTCTCCCAGCACTTTTTTCTTATGTAGTTCCTAAAGGGAAAAGAAGAAAAAAGAGAGCCCCGTAACTGTCTGCATCAGGTGCGACACTTCAACAGTAGCTCACAAGGACTGAAGGTAATAAGGGATTAAAAGCATAAGATTAAAGGTATATATAAAGAGAGAGGAAGGAGAGAGGAAGGAGAGAGTAAGGCGCAGAGACAGCGAGCGACGGAAGTGAAGAAGAGATAGGAAAGATGGGCCTTGTCGCAGGAGTCTGAGGACGTGGCACCACTCGACGAGAGCTGTTGTCGACGACAGGAGATGACGTAGGGCGAGTCCAGTCGGCCAGAGCTGCGCTGTCGGCGGAAATCGGCGTCAGGGGGTGGCGTAGGGCGAGCCCAGTCAACCAGAGCTGCGCTGACGTCGGAGATCGCGAGGGCACAAGCGGTCGGCACGAAATCCAGTGAGCGAGTGCCCACCCCAGCACTTGCGGAACTAAATTTCGTGACTGCGGCTCTGTAGTTGAGGGGAGCTTGAGAGATCTGGTGCAGAGATTGGCAGCACACTGTCTCCCTAGACTGTTGTCAATTGGGGGTGAACGAAAAATAGACGTAATGAAGGTGAATCTGAGATAGCAGTGAAGAAAAATAACGACGCTACAGACTGGTCCACAACTTACCGCATGCTTTCTCGCAATTTCTGCATTTTTTATACGTCAACGTTTATGTTTATATGTTCTTGGCCCTTTTTATAATATAGCAGTTTTTCCTCATGTATGTGCAGTAGGACTGGCATGCTTGTTTCAACTCTAGAGTGCTGAAGTTTGGACCCGTTGAGACACTGCTGTACCACGGTTCAATAGGCAAAATTGGTGACACTTCAGAAGTAGTGGCGTAAGGGCGTATGTGATGCCCTCTTTGATTAACATGACAGATGACAAGCTTTGAAACCTGATTTGCCTTAAAACACTTATTGATTTTACGCCATGCTACATCAATTGAGAAAGCATCCTTGTACAGCACTCGGTGATAGAAACGCGACGCTCGGAGCACGTGAAACTGGTGGTGAGGGTAACCTGGAGTGAAACAGCGTTCGCGACACATGGCGCTTACATCTATATAGCCATCCCATCTGCTTTGTGTGTGTGGTGTGTGTGTGTGTGTGTGTGTGTGTGTGTGTGTGTGTGTGTGTGTGTGTGTGTGTGTGTGGCACACAATGCTTTGCGTACCCCAAGTGCAAGCGTCGTACACATGCACTTGGCATGCTCTTGCTGGCTTTTGTTAGGATATGGAAACACCCAACGTATGCTACGATTGCTCTAGTTGCATACGCTATCTAAAGGGCCCTGCTGCTGGCACTGGGGTGCCAGTAATACGAAAGACTGCAATAATTGATATGTGGGGTTTAACGTCCCAAAACCACCATATGATTATGAGAGACGCCGTAGTGGAGGGCTCCGGAAATTTCGACCACCTGGGGTTCTTTAACGTGCACCCAATCTGAGCACACGGGCCTACAACATTTCCGCCTCCATCGGAAATGCAGCCGCCGCAGCCTGGATTCGAACCCGCGACCTGCGGGTCAGTAGCCGAGTACCTTAGCCACTAGATCAGAAAGACTGCAATGCTTCGCCGGGTCCACTGAGAAGTACAGACCGAATGACTGTTTACCGGACGATATCACCATGCGTCACAAGCACGTTCACCGTCGCCGTCACCCTCAGTGCCAGCAGCCACGTGCTCCGATTATCGCGTTTCGATTGCCGGGCATTGTACGCTCTGAAATGTACTACGTGCGCGCAAGCGATAGCGCTGGAATCTATAATAACGCGTGCATTACGATATGGGCAGTCATTCGGCCCATACCGATACCTTGAAGAAAGCTGCAACTTCATACCGTGCCTCCCAGATAGCCGCAGTCTTTCGGATTGCCGATAACTACCCGAAACAAGCAAGGCAAGAAGGAACGTGGCCACTTAGGCAGTTTAAACGACAGTGGCAGTGCTAATTTTAGTTCTGCGCTGCTTGACAACCGAGAGAGCCACATTTTCTCCAGAGTTTTTCTCCATGATCTACAAAACAGAGCGAGAACTGTGATAGACCTTACTCTTGAATAACTGTAGATCCAATAAAAAAGATGCGACACATGTGTGTAGCCATGGGTATACCTGTATGGTGCGAAAAATGGAAGTGCGCTTTAAAAAAGCAGCCGTCTTTCGCAGCACTTTCGCATGAGCATTCACCAGTGTTAATAGAAATGAACGCGTCAAAGTTTTATTGGAATAGCGAGCGTAGCTCCCTATTGCGAGCGACGCTATTTTCACGGAAGAGATGAACCATCTTAGCCGCTGCTTTTACTCGAAGTGGCAACCCGATGTCTGAGCAGTTGAACGTTCGTGTCTTCATGCGGAGTGTCATAAGCAAGAGGTCTTCGACGGACAGTTGTGCATGATATGAGAATTTGTGACGCAGCACAGTATACCATCAAGAAAATTTGTGACAGGAGCGTGGACGATTGAAAATATGCTCGCCTGAGGGCTGGACAGGGCAGAAAAGTTCTACCATTCGACATATACAAGCCCATGCACGAGTAGGCATGACTGCGTGGTTGATAGGTAAGACTGTGAATTTCCTTCTCTCTAGCCACTTGGTCAGTTAGTCACGCAGGCATGTTGCTACGCTTCCCTGTTAAAGCGTTTGTTTGGGTCTTCTGCACGGAGCTGCGCATGAAATCTAAGAAATGAGCGTGGGCAGGAAATGGTGCGTCAAGTGGCACGGGTGGTCGGTGATCGCGTTCAACTAAAAAACAAACGTGGGGGCGTGCTGTCGTTGCTTGCCGTAACGTTATTTCGTCTGATACCACAAAGACGACTCTTTTTGTCTGCAGGAAGAGCCAGATGATAGAAATGAATGCCTACACGTATTTATTATATGGAGGCACGAGTTACATTAAATTGAATTTCAAGTCTCTTGTATATTTAAGTGACAACAGCCAAAGAGTCCTGCATGATTGCGGCAAAAAAGAACAACTAAAGTTGCCATACGCAGCTCATGCCACGCAATGTCATTAGGCAGTACGAAAATGGTTAAACAGCAAAGCGAAATGAGGATGTAG